TACAATGTATACCAATAAATGAAAAGGTGCATTTTTAAATATTCTGCTTTTCAACAAAGGTGTTTGTCAAAAGTATGAGACTCTTTTGCATTCTTCTCTGAAAATCGTGAGCACTAGAAATGTATCACAATAGTCGATTATCTGAGAAATACTATTTTCATTTATACTTAGTAAAGTATATCACTTGCACAATACATTCTGAAACATATATTACTATTACATGTAATATCGAAATTTTTCTGTTTAAAAATTGTAACCCCTGTAAAAAATTGGAAGTCTTATTTTTGTTACAAGTTTCTCATTACATTTTACTTAATATCAAGGCTGTAAATGTTTAGTACTTTTGTTAGTAACTGGGAAAAATCAAGGAACAATGTTGCATATGTAGCAATATAAAAGTTTACTTGATATGCCAATTGGTAAGAGATGATTTGGAAGCAGGATCTCAAATTTAGCCTTCTTGACCCCAATTAAATCCACCAGGACGATCTTCAGGTGGTGGGGTATAGTCTGGATCTTCTGGATGTGCGTCAAACAAAGTCTTACTGGAAAGAAAAATGCATGATTATATCTCTTTTATAACACATAATTTACTGTTTTGCTATTAAAATAACTTACAGTACTTGTGGAGTTTTAAGAATACGAAAACCACCCCTTAAACGTGGAAACACATCTTCTGCAAAGTAATACATGTGTCCCACAGCCATTCCAACCAGATCTACCCAAATTGAATTATCAAGAAGTACAGAAAACCCAAAAAGCACCCAGGGCAAATATGGTGCCTATTAATAAAACATACATGATAATCATCTGTTCTTTTCTTAAAATAAATGAGAGAAGCAGGTACAAACTTACTTGAAAGTTTAAAAGTCCAAAAAAGTTTAGTCTAACAAATGGATTTCTCCGGGACCAAACATAGACCAACATAAGAGTAAATGCATGGCCCAGAAACATCAAGTTAACAAAAAATGCAAATATCTATAGTAAGTTCAGGATGTATACACTTAATAAAATATATTGGATTTATGTTTATTGCATATTTCATTTAAAAAAGAAAAGTATTATAAGGATACAATCATACATATACCCCCAAAAATGAACATCATTACAAAATCAGCTGTTCTTCTGCGAAATGATCCTTCTTCCAACATTCGACAGTACCGATACGTAAAGATCATATTGAAAAGGAAATTGAAACCCATATTTCCAAGAAATAAAAATGTAGTTATTAATCTCCATAGCTGAAAAACCATTTATACTATGCATGGTAATGATCATAAAATATATAAAGCTGTTTGTCTAATAATTAATGATTTAGGTAAATTATCATTTACCTGATACTGTTCAATAATCAATGTAGGATTAAAATACAACCGAAATGGAGATACCAAATCTAGTTGCTAAAATGGAAGAATAAAAATAAACTCATAGTTATACTTTGGAAATAGCATCCTATACACGTGGAGCAAAATCATAAGATAAATATTTTACAAACCACAGCAAGAGTCGTGATGACACAAGCTGTTGTGTAAGCTCGTGTCACCACAGGTATTTGCATATACTCCTGTCGAAAAGTTTGATAGGCCATTGGTGTATTATTATGATCTCCTTTACACTCAAAGACCAATTATTTTCCCAGACTTCTCGCCTTTGTAATTTATCATCACATGTTGCTCGTTACTGTGCATTATCTAAATTTAATCATTACCCACATCACGACAAATTTGTTATGTTCAGTTTCGTACACGTAATACGTGAAATTCGTCACTATCGAATGACGTAGTCTCGATTTTACGTTGCTATCGAAAATAATTTCGTGGCCCCTTTACATTTGCTGAAATTTATCGAACTACCTTCTCATCAATTTTCGATCAATTTGAAAAGAACTTAAGAGATTCGTATTTATTATACATTTTTAGAATCATCTTAGAAAATATTTTTCATTGATATAAAAAAATTACTGCACTGTTAATTTTTGTCATATGACATCATAATAATATCTTCGTCCTGTAACTTGTTTTTACAATCTAAAAATAATAAAATCTTTAATATATAGATCATACTTTAATAAACATATATTTTTAATTTACTTTTAAAAAAATTTACATATTTCAAACGAATCACAACGCTCCACCAACATTTCTACTTCTCGTCATCACCGCTACGCTTCGTATATTCTCGCGAGTATGTTCTAGCTTTTTAATATATAAAAGCCATTTGAAAACAAGCAGAGGCATCGCTTCTCGGCCTTATGGCTAAGATCAAAGTGTAGTATCTGTTCTTATCAGCTTAATATCTGATACACTCCCCATTGGGGAGTCAGAATATTAATCTGATTTTTGGAAATTGACGGAGTCGTTGGAGCTTGTTCCACCTCTGTCGCGAGTCGGCCTGGTATTGCAGTACCGCCAGGATTGGCTCAATTATTAAATTTTAAAACTAAAAGTTGTATAAAGGGTTTTTGCATTCTCTATTGCTATGAAATTATGTTGAAGTATTATATTATCATCTTACTTGTAAGAGGAGGGAAAATTTTCATAACAGTTCAGAAATAAAAGGAAAGAGAGGGAGGGAAGGAAGCCACTTGTTTAATAAGTGCTTGCGAAAAAATTGTAAGAAAAGTTTTTAATTTTCAGAATAATATGAAGTGTTTAAGATTCATAAATAACTGAGTCCTAACATATTTCTCTACTAAGTGTAAAAGGCAAATCTGTGACTAGTAATGTTGTAGCCAATTTTACTGTAAATATTCGCATATATCGAAAGTTAAAAAGTTAGTTAAAAAACTGCATCAATGCGCATGAATCACGTGTCAGTAAAGTGTGCTGCCATCTTAATATCCGTTAATTTTCAAAATTATTTATTAAAAGCTTTAAGGGTGAGGTCAGTGTTGCCACCTCTACGGACTTCTTCGTAGATCTACGGATTTTTGTTTTTTTTTTGCCTTTTTTTTGGTTCATAATTTAATGAAAACAAACATAAGGAGCTGAACGCGAAATCTTTGTCGGGATTACTTCACACAAAACATACACTGCTATGAAGTAAAAATGACAGAAGAACGTCACAAGCTATTTTAATAATAACATGTATGATTTTAACAAAAAGATTAGATGATAAAATGATTGGCAAGTAATAAATTTTGTATATATGTACTTACATATTATGTATACATATATTCATTAAAAACAGTTTTTTTTAAATTTGTAAGTAAATCGATGATTTCAATATCCTTCTATAGGATTCTGGAATTAAATCAATACTACACATCAATGTATATACCTAATATATGTATGTGATGCGTATGTAGGTTATGTTGATTACACACACACACACATACACACTTAACCTAACATGTATAATTTTATACATGTGATAACTGTGAATAGCAGTTTCTGACTTTGTGATTTACACTCATAAAAAATCCGTACATTTACAGATTTTCCAAAAAGAAATCTACGGAATTTTCAGCTCTTTCTTCCGGACTTTCAAAAATCTGAGGTGGCAACACTGGGTGAGGTTACCTTTTACTCGCTGGTTAAGATGTTTCAGAAAAAGTGTGAATAAGTATTTCAATTAGCAAATTATTATATTAACATTTGTACATTTTATTCAAAAGTGGACTGAGTATCATCTCTTGCTTAAATTATTTGTCGAAATGTCATCGAAAACAGAGGTTACATTGGAACATTTTTACATATTCAATGGCATGTATGCGAAAAAAGAAGGGGAGGCAAGTAAATTAAATTTAACAAAAAATCTGTAAACACTCTGTAATCTGTTAACAATCTGTATGTAGGAAGAAAAAAAGATACTTTATTATTATCCAGAAAGAGATTTAGATGTTCAAATTAAAAATATAGGACTGAGTGAAGCAATTATTAAATTTGCCCAGTATGTATATTTATATTTTAAAAATAAGAATTGTACAGCATCCATGTTAAAATTATGCCTGAAATTTTTAGATCATTTAATCCTGGACAACCATGTGATTATTGTCATACCCACAAAACTCGTCAAATTTATTATCAACCAGAACCAAATTTTTGGATGGTAATGGTAAGGTTTATGTACATTAAGAAAAATATGAAATGTAGAAAGATAGAGTGTACTTTATATCATACAAAATTGAGCATTTATTAAGACTGAAAAAATACAATTATTATATAGATTATTGGTGTACCATATATATGGAAAGAGAAAGATGGTAATAAATATGCAGAATATCAATATGATGAAGTTTCTAGCAGTGTTTGTCAAGCCATATTAAAACAAGCATATGTTATGTTCAGATTATTTATGGGATCATTTGACACTATTATTAGTGAACCTGAATGTGGGTCCATAACATTATTAAAGCATAAACTTGAGCATTTTTATTCAAGGGTAAATATAATTCTTGAATGTGCAATTTATGCATTTTTAAATATATTCTCTAACATCATGCACTTTCCACAGTATTTACTATCTCTAAATTTAAATAATAGTGATATATTGGATGTTTTCCAAGGCTTACAATTTCTACCTCTTGACAAAGTAACATTTTTAAAGGTTCAGTGTTTTATGAATCTTGTAGAAGCTATGTTCTCTCAAGTGAAGTATACAGCATTTCTTTATAATGATCAAGTTGTATGGTTAGTAACATAAAAATTGTTATACTACTAGTACATATATGAATTAAAAAATAACTACACATTATTATTTAGGAGTGGGTTAGAACCAGAGGATATGCAAGTAGTTTATAAGTATTTAGTAAGTACAATTTTACCAGCTCATCTTGAAAAAGAACTACATGGAGGTTCAATGCCCAGGAATTCACCTTCACCATTTACTACTTCTCATTATGGAAAGTTAGTAGGTGTATAATAATTTTTTTCCAACGTATAATAACATAATGAATTATTCAAATTTTGTAGATTTGTTACTGGTCCATCTAGTATTAATGAACCAAGTTTAATTGGAAAGTCTCCTAAAGTATTTATAAATTATTCTACAAAACCTGTTTCATTATATTTGGTAGTTTACAGAGCATTAAGTGCCACAATATGCCTATTCGTTGATAGTAAGTGTTGTTGCTTTTTTTTCTTCTAAACAATTATGCCATTTTTAGTTTTAAAATTTCAAAGAGTACAATATTCAAATATTTATTTTACAGGCAAAACAAGTTTATCAATAGATTTCTTTAAAAGTCTTGACAGTTTTCTTGGTCCACAATTGACAACACTTGTTAGTTCAGTTGCAGAACAATGTGCTAAACATGTAACAGTTACTTCAGAATCTTGCAAATACTTATATTTTAATAAACTTAACTTAGCATATAAGAGTACACTACACCCAGATAACAGGCGATGTTCTAATGCACTTACAACACCCGAAGTATTGCGAGTTATTACTGATATATACAATGATACAAACAAGTTAGTATATTATATAGTAACATTTTGACTTTAGTAGTGTGTTATTTTCGACTGGATTACATTTTTTTTATAATTTCAGATTAAAAGAAGCTGGAGAAATTATTGTAAAAACTATGAGTGATTATTGGGTTGTTGGAAAATTATCGAACTTGAGGGAATTTTTTGTAGTTATTCAACAAAGAAGTGCAAGCATAATCGAAATAGAAGGTATATATGCATGTATGTATTTATTTTATCATTAAAATTATATAAATTTTTATTTCAGACGAAAAAAAGAAGCTTTGTGAAAAGGAATTAAAAAGTATATTTTTCCATTAGTAAAAGAGATACATAAAATTTAATGTAAAATATAAAATCTGTACATACAAATTATATATTTTTAATACATTTAAATTGCTTAAACAACATTCTCTCAAATATTGTAATTATAAAGATATTAATTTATTTCAATCTAACTGATTAACACTAATCAAAAGATTCTTCCTTTGCATCTTTCTTTTTATGAACAATATTAGAAAATTTTTTTAATTTCGCTACAAAAAATCCGTCCATATTATGTACATGTGGATAAAATCGTTTCGTTAATTTTAATGAGGGATGAAATCTATGCTGTCTATAGCTTGTAAAACCTTCGGCGCCAAATTCCAAGCCAGTGGGCATTAATTTTACGTCGCGCTTTTTGAGGGCATAATCAATAACCCATTCGTTCTCTTCCGGAAGAATTGAACATGTAGAATAAACGACAATCCCACCAGATTCCGAACGTGCATTAGCACAATCTATAGCTGCTAAAAGTAATTCTCTTTGTAGTGTACAACAACGCTGTATATTTATTTCATCTTTATTTGTTTTAACACTTGGATCTTTCGAAACAACACCAGTGCCGGTACATGGTGCATCTAATAAGACTCTATCGAAACCTTTAATTATCTACAAATACATAATTTAATTAATATGCGTATACTATATATTTAGTGCATTTATTCAAGAAAATTCCACTTACCGATGGTACTTTTCGTCCATCATAAGTACATATTACAGAATTCACAATGCCAAGCCTGTGGAAATTACCGACAACGGCTTTTATTCTTTCCTCGTTAACGTCATTTGAAAAAAGTACACCTGTATTTTTCATAAGTGCTGCTATGTGCGATGACTTCCCACCTGGTGCAGCACACATGTCGAGAATCCTTTCCTTCTCTTTAGGATCCAAAGCCATGACAGGTAGAAAACTAGATGCACCTTGCAAAATATAATGCCCTGCTAGATATTCGGGTGTTGCTCCCATTGGAACTTGTGAAGAGTACACTACTAATCCAACTTTTGTCCATTTGCCTATTGGGTCTAAATTGACCCCTCTGTTAATCAAAGCCTGAAATATTCATATTGTAGTTTTATAAAAGGTAGATCAACTATGCATTTCATTCATTCATTTATTCAATAAATACTTCTGCCAAATCACGACGACGTGTTTTTAATGTGTTCGTTCGTATTGTCATAGGTCTCTGAACTTCACTCGCTTCCAAAAATTCTAATAACTCATCCAATGGAAATATTTGCATTAATTTCTGCATTAAAAATGTGTTATAACTATAGTATATACATAAATCTCTTCTAAGGAGATCCATGTATTCCGAACGTGATCTTAAAAAAAGAAGCGAAGTATAAGGTTTTTCGAAATTTATTCGCGAAATATTTCAATCTTAAGATATATACCTATTTATATCACGTAATCGTTTAAAATCAGACAATACCATAACAACATCTTTTATACGTTGCTGTATGTCTTTAAGATTAGTATCTGCTGCAAGTTCTTCCTCAGTTGGAAAAGTAAAGACACATTGTTGTAATGTCATGTCTTTCATTTCCTCTTCTGCTAGTTTTCTAATAAACAAAAAACAGATTAAATTAAGAATATCACAGTTGCTCTAATGAAAAATAATATTTACTGTTCTTCTTTTTGTTTCTTTTTTAGCCTTATATTTGCTTTTTCTATGGGAAGTAGCTCATCATCATTGTCATCAGTATCCTCTATTATTTCTTCTTCATCTTCGTCCATTTCCTCATCTTGATCATGCTCATCATATTCTTTATCATTTTCATCCTCTGTATCACTTTCAAATAATTTCTCTTTTGGACTTATTTGTTGTTTGTCTTCCATGTCTTCTTCATTATTAGATACATTACTATCATTATCAAACTGCATTTGATCATTTTCATCACTTAAATTGCCATTTGTAAAAGGTTTTTTTTTCTTCTTTACCTTTAATTGTTTTATGGTACTTTTGATTGGCTAATATAATAAAAATGTATATTTCAATAATGTTATCATGCATAAAGTATATTATACAAAAGAAGCTTACATTTTTACTTCCAATGTCCTTTAACTTCTTATCTTTCTCTTTTTGTAACTTTTTTATGTTTTCTTTTATGTTTTGCTGTTTTAACAATCTTTTCTTTGCACGTTGCCTTTGTCTATGACTTAAATCTTTTTCTTCTTTATCTGAAAGTAATAACTGTATGGCTTACCTTCATACACATTAACGGTATACATCTGTCTATCACACATAAAAAATACACATAGAAATTTTTATTTTTCATACCTAATACTCCTTTTGGAAATGTTGGATCTCCTTGTTTTTTTGCTTTTCTTCCAGGACCACTTGGAACAGTTGTTCCATCAAATTTGGCTTTTCGTCCCATTTTAATTTACTTTATGAGTTACCTATTAAGTTTTCTATTAAGCAAAACACAAAAAATTTGCATTGGTTTGTAGACTTTGAAATGTTGAATTCATACAAATCGTTACTTTTTACATTTCATATTACAGTATTATATTTATGTAAAAAAATTGTATTTAAAAAATAGAAAGTACTCAAATTTTTCAAAAAGAACACGTGAGTTATAACCTATCATTTGTATGTATATACTGTTCAACCATGTTTAAATGTGACCAACTTTATAAATGATGAATGTTTCGAAAAAAAAATAAAGTACAATTTTATTTCGAAACATAGATTTGTGAAAAGTATCTAAATATTTCTTGGATGTTCTAAGATAAATATTGTATGTAATTAATCCTAGAAAATAAAAATTCTCTAAAAAATTATAATTTGTTGACTTTAACCGTAAAAATCCCTATAATGTAGCTAAAAAAAATTGAAAATACATGTGCTTTACAAATTATGTTTGATTTATTATAATGACATTTATTCAACGAAGAACATAACATTTTAAGATAAAATGGGAATGGTTAAGCAAGAGGTGCACCGACCTGGTGCATTTAAGCAAGTAAATAAGGCGCATAAAACTGGTAGACATCGTAGTAAAGGTTCAATAAGTAGCGAGGCTAAAGGTACACCTTTACAACATATTCTTTTATTTAACCCTATTAGTATTTTACTTGTTGCTGTATTTTTCAATATATAATTAATTTAACATACAGGAAAAGTTGGAGTAAAAGCTTTATCAAAACGTGCTCTTAAAAATCTTTCAAAGGATGCTCGAAGGAATCAATCTTCCCAAATTAGAAAAAGGAAGAGAGAAGAAGTATTGCAACAAAAAAGAAATCTAGGTGGATCACATTTTGCACCTATTCTTGTATGCATTATTCCATTGCAAGAAGATGTAGATGTTGAGAATGTATTGTCGATATTAACAAAAGCAGTTGAGACTGCAAATATAACAAATAGTCCATGTGGTACAACACATTTCAGGTATAATGTTGTGATTCAGGTGAATGATATTAATAAAAACATAAGTTATTAATTATTTACTTTTCTTCTTATAACAGTATACCTAGATTTAAACAACGTTTTTCCATTATTATTCCACCAGTTGGTAACTTGTTTGCCACATTAGATGTAGCAAAAGTAGCTACAACTATACTTTTTGTTGCTTCTGCTGTAAATGAAACTGATAATAATCCAAGGGAAGAGGTCCTGGATGATTGGGGAAAGGAGATTATTTTACCTTGTGTTGCTCAAGGCTTAACTACTCCTGTAGTAGCACTTGTAAATGTTGAAAGTCTTCATATAAAGGTATTATTTTAGGTTTTGTTTTAACACATTTTTGTTTTAATACATAATAATTTTTATTATAGAAACGCCAAGACTTTAAAAACCATGTACAATCTGAAATTTCGAAATGGCTTCCTGAAGAAAAAGTTTTTCAATTGGATACTTCCACAGATGCTTTAAATGTTCTACGACGAGTTGGTTCTCAAAAGCAAAAAACTATATCCTATAGAAGTAAAAGAGCTCATCTGTTAGCTGAAGAACTAAGGTTTCATTGTAACGAGGTAGGTATTAAAGTAACCAGTATTTATATTAATAAAGATGTAAGTTTCTCATCATTTGTAATTTTATTTAGGGTTCCACAGAGCTTGGAACACTTATGATTTCAGGATATCTTAGAAATGTACCATTATCAGTCAATGGTTTGATACACATTTCTGGATTTGGAGATTTTCAAATGTCTCAAATAGATGCTCCTGAAGATCCATACCCAATGGAGAGAAAAATAAGGAAACATTGTAATGCAATGGATGATGAACAATCCATTAGGATTCTCGAACGCGCAGATCCAAAGAAACAAGTAATTAAATCAATCAAAATGAAGCTGTGCTTATTTAATATCAACTAATTAACAATGGATACTTTTCATTTTTAGGAATCACTCGAAAGTGAAAATATACCTGACCCTATGGATGCAGAACAAACTTGGCCCACAGAAGAAGAATTAGCTCAAGCTGCAGCTGCTCAAAAAAAGAAAATAGTAAAAAGAGTTCCAAAGGGAACATCTGAATACCAGGCAGCCTGGATTCCTGATGAGGATGGAGGTATTTTTTCTTACATTTAGTCATGAGATTAAAAGATATGAAACATGTATTATTGTAGAGGAATTGAGTGACGATGAATCAGAAGACCAGATGTCTGTTGATGAAGCAAAATCTCAAGCGGATAGTGAAGTAGAAGCAGAAGAAGACGAGGAAGAATACGAGACAATTACTGTATCTGAAGCTCCCGATGAACGATACGATAAGAACATTGATATAACGGAGGAGAAGGAGGCAATAGACAAATTAAAGCGTACGTTAACCGAATAAGCATAAGTTATTCTTTTTATTAATACACTCCATTTATTGTATAACTTCAATTGTACTTAAATATATAGAAGCAAAATTAGATGCACAATTTCCTGATGAAGTGGATACGCCGCAAGGTACATTGGCGAAACAGAGATTTCAAAAGTATCGTGGACTTGAATCATTTAGAACAAGTCCGTGGGACCCAAAAGAAAATCTTCCTATCGATTATGCTCGAATATTTCAGTTCGAAAATTTTGATCGAACGCGAAAACGTATATTTAAAGAATCTAAAGAAATAGAAGGTGCTATGGTATGTTTGTTCCGGAGCAATCGATTTCCTAAAGCATGTATCTATTTGTAATATAATATTTTTAAAATACGTTGTTTGTTTTAGCCTGGTTGGTATATCACAATTCACGTTATGAATGTTAGACGAGATCTTTTTACCGCATTTTCCACGTTAGAAAGTCGTCCATTAATTATATTCGGTCTACTCCCGAATGAACACAAAATGTCTCTTCTAAATTTGGTATTAAAACATACCAATACTAGTTCACGACCAGTAAAATCTAAGGATAGATTGATATTTCAATGTGGGTTCAGAAGATTTAGCGCATGTCCAATATTTAGTCAACATACAAACGGAAACAAACATAAGGTATACGTTATACTTAGGATTTCTACACATCATTTTATATTATGCTATTAAAATTAAAAATCTTTTTCAGTACGAGCGGTACTTCCAACCGGAAAGTACTGTTGTAGCAAGCATGTATGCACCAATTACGTTTTCACCTTGTCCAGTTCTGTGTTATGTAGAGAAATTGAACAAATCATTGGTAAGAAAACGGTGGTTATAGATGTAACAATCATTGTGGCTAATTTCTATCTTTAAAATAATTAATATGTATGGTATTTGGGTAGGAATTAATTGCAACTGGGAGTGTATTATCTGCAAATCCAGATAGAATAGTTGTAAAACGAGTTATTCTCAGTGGTCACCCATTTAAAGTGCATAAGCGATCAGCAGTTATAAGATTCATGTTCTTTCACCGTGAAGATATAAATTGGTTTAAACCAATTCAATTGCGAACGAAATATGGTCGTAGAGGTCATATAAAAGAACCATTAGGTAAATAATTGTTCTTAACTATTCGTATACAATGTATAACTGATTAAAATAATTTATTTATTGTTTTTATCTTTAGGTACACATGGACACATGAAATGTGTATTCAATGGTCAATTAAAATCGCAGGATACGGTTTTGATGAATCTGTATAAACGAGTATTTCCAAAGTGGACATATGAACCTTTATTATTAACAGAGCTGGAACATCAGGATCAAAGCATGAATGTAGAATAAGATTTATCAATAAAAGTATTAAAATGTACATATAAACATATATGAGAAAAAAGTTAAATAAAAAAATAAAATGTTTTCATAAATTTATAAGTCTTGCAATACGTTCAATTCGACATAATTGAGCACATTTTTTGTAGTAATAATATACAAAATAAATCGTACATTTCAATTTAAAAGTGAATTTTCGATATATCGTGGAATGTGTCACGTGATTTATATTCTACCCAATTAGCGTCATGTATACTGTTTAAAAGGTGACATTGTGTGAATTGTGAAATTCGTTAAGTAATATTTAATAAAAATTGTATTATAAAACAATTTGTCTAAGAACAAATGGATTTGGATACTGCGTATATTGGTAATAACGTATATAATAATGAAGTATATAATAATAAAAATGTTGAGAGAGAACTGTCAATGTTTGTACACAAAGTGACAAACCTAAATTTTCGTTTTAAAGCAAATGTTTATTTAATACAGAACCTTTACTTGATGATTGGTTAGAGGGACTTCAAACAGTAATTAAAGCGCAAGAAAATCTTGTCAAAGCAAAAGATGAATTTTACATGCCATTTGTAGGTAATTGTTGCGTACAGAATTGTCTACGGTATCACTTTGACGATACTAGTCAGCGTTTCGATTTAATAATATTCTGATAATAAAATGTATACTTGTTAAATTTTTATTTTAGCCATACCAGTCCCAATTGTTAATGCAATATTTAAAGTAACAGAACACCTTGACTTAGGACCAGATACTAGATATATTGCCATTCACTTGTATGATAAATTTATGTGTAACTATTTTTGGGAAATATATAAAAATTCTGATCAGACAGAAAATACTTGGTCTCAAATTTGTAAAAAGATATCAAGTCAATCGAAACTTTATCTCATGTCCTGTTTACAATTAGCAAGTAAAATGGATTCACATTCTAAAAACTTGAGAATATCGCAAGTACATATGGGTGCTTTTTTTCTGAATTCACCAATTTTAGCTTTACTTTACTTTACCTTTTTCTATAATGCAGGTGCTTAATCTTTTACGGTGGATAGATAAAAAATCTGAATATACACACAGTGCAATTTTCTCATCTGAGTACAAAGTATTTAAAACTGTTGGATTTAGAATGCCATTTTGCACTCCATTAAATTGTATAGAGGTGCTTTTAGCTGCAACAGGACTTAAGGACACACCAAACATGCAAGAACTTACTATAAATTTATTGGATTTAGTTTATTTGCAGGTTTGTATTATTTTCCTAGACATCTTTTAGATGTTAACATTATTGGATTATTAAAGGAGACACATGCTTGTAGCGGGAGAAGGTGTATTCCAATTTGCAGTGTTTAATCCAAGGACATGTTGCAAGAACTCAAGAGGAAAAGAGAAGCTTGATGACATTAGAATCAAACGTATTATTTCTAGGAGCCTCTGTTGTTCTTTGTGGGACATTCTTTTTCTGCATAGACAGTGAAACAGCAAAAGTTATTGCCTTGAAATTATCACAATTAATAGATATAAAATTTAATGATATTTGGAATATGGCTAATATACTTCTTGTAATGGCAATTCAAGAATAATTATTAAAAAACAATTAGAATAAGTTAAATGTTTACTAAAAACTAAATTTTAGAAAATATAATAGCTAGGAATAAAATTAAAATTGAAAATGAACGATAATGCTTTTAAAATAATTAAGTGCGCCCTCTATATGAGGCTTGAATAGTGAATATAACTCCCATACAGACCACCAGGTGATTTATTCCACAAGTACTTTCTCACAAGTTTAATTTTTTCAGCGACAGATAAAAGGATTGAGAAAACCAAAAGTGGTATCGCTTCTCGGCCTTATGGCTAAGATCAAAGTGTAGTATCTGTTCTTATCAGCTTAATATCTGATACACTCCCCATTGGGGAGTCAGAATATTAATCTGATTTTTGGAAATTGACGGAGCTGTTGGAGCTTGCTCCACCTCTGTCGCGAGTCGGCCTGGCATTGCAGTGCCGCCAGGATCGGCTCAATTAATTTAATTTAAAAACATAACAAACGCACACTAATAAATAAGTTTATATGAATTTATGTTTTTATTTGAATATTAATTGGAAGTTCAGGAATTAAGGTTATGAACTTTAATTTTAAATTGTGTTTTATTTCAATTTTAATACAGTTTTAACTTTTTTGTTGATCTAGAGGGAGGGGGTATTCTTGAACGATTGCTGACACTAATTCTTATGACGTTCCATTAGATTCAAAACTTTGTTGTATACCCAGGTATCTACGTGCTTGCCAAATAGAAAATCAAGGTGCGAGAAAAGCAAAAATGGTACCAAAAATTTCTGAGCGTTGGGCAATAATTTGTATAACTTATGCAAATCCTACAACAATATAATGTATTAGCAGGAACGAGAGATGTGTAAAAATTAGCAAATTCGAATTTCAGAGTCATACAATATACAAACCTCGGTATGGACCATCACATCGTTACTACTGTAATACAAGTATACTGGAATCTTAATGTTGTCGAGGTGATAATCAGGCGGTTGACTCTTTCCGTATTTGTTTAAGTTACCAATAAGACCATGATCATATTTTCGGAATTTGCCTGCGAAGAGGGACGATTTAATTTAGAAAAGAAAATGTTAATGTAATAGTACAAAACTCAATTACCAAAGACTGACCTGAGTTCATTAACTGTGCGTAATGAGCTAATTGCATGGTGGATGCACCAGCTGGATCATATTGCGCGATAGTAGGTAGTAGAGTCTGTAATATAAGAATCAATTTTAATCGAAAACTGTCATATTACAGTAATCATTTTGAATAGAGGTAATTACCATATTAAACTCTTCTTTATCGAATCCATCAAACAGGAAAATAATAATTTTGCAGAATGGTTGCAGGATTGCATCGTCATGACACATCTTTTTCCCCAGGCTCTGTATCAGCTTGCCAGAAGGTTTAAATTCGTAGATACCTATTAGATCAACCAGATCCTGCAATTAAAATGGAAAATGATGGCCTACCAAACATAAAATATCTTGTGTCTTAATGGCTAAGAAACCGTACAATTTGATGTAACGGCTAATAATCTAACTCTACCATAAGGTTGTTAACATGAGGAGCCAACATCCGCATAAGAACATTTTTTGCCCTAGACATAAAGACAGCTGGAGCAAAGTTAAAGGAAGCTTGAATTTTTTGCTGATATTCAGGGCGTTCACTGGCCATTACAAAGAATGCCGTACCACCCTGGCTATGTCCTACGTAGAACAATTTTTTTTGCTTCGTGTGATTGAGAGCGTAATCGATCATTGCCGGGAGATCGTACACTCCGATTTCATGCCAGCTAGACGAAAAATATTCTGTAGACGAATCTTAATATATTGTTCAATCTAAATAGATTTCATTCTACCTGAATGACCAATAATCGGGGTTCGAAGTAGCCAAGTACTTGTGCTTTCTAGAATATCTGCTACCACGAGAATTGCCTGTCCACACGTCGTACCCCCAGTCTGCTAATATAAAGGCTAAAGTTTTCGGAAAGTATTAATGAACATGTAAAAAAAAAAACACAATTTGCTGGCGAATGATTTGATTTCAGAAGAAATTCTGATTTGACAATACCTAAACTCTTCTGCGGGCCTGTAAAAATCCAGGAAGCTGAACAGTCCAAAAGTCCGTGTTGAAGTAATACAACTGGTTTATTCTTGGATGCAGGATGTTTCGGCGACCCCGCAATTCTGTGCACTTGCAGAATGTAGCCATCTTCGGTGACAACTTCGTGAGTTTCGGCGGTATAGCCTTCTTGTCTTATCAACTCGTCCTGCAGAAATTTGACACGTTCAATGGCAATAAAAGATTTACCGCGTTGATTATTTACTTACAGGAGTTGGAGGATTTCTGAAGAGAGGGCTGTCGAAATCGTCAAATGCGACATCAAGAACCTCGTTTAATTCATATTCGTCTTTTGTAAGCGGTACTCCCAGGATCACTGGCAGTATACAACAGAAAATAAACGGTATTTTGAGCATTGTTCGTTCGCAGGTGGTACAGTTTATGATTGTCGCGAATGATTTGGTGGTTATTTATAAAGAATGATTTTCAGGTGTATTCGTGTAGAGAAACATCAGATTAAATGCTTATCGATTATCAACGGATCGGGTGTTCATCAACATAGTTGATCAGATGTCCATTCGACCTTCGAAAAGATAAATCATTTATCTATATTACGCATAACAAATTGTACTGATTTCTGCAACAATTGTATTTTGTCAATTTTCAGATTTCTGAAAAGTGAATCTGTGTAAACAGAAGCTGATTAAAGAGAGCGATTTTATTGATCGATTATGCGATCACTTGTACGATAAATATGGTAAACATCAATAAGAATGGAAATGTTTGGCGGAAATAATATTTGGTATCTGCTTAACTTCGTTAGTTAAAAATATGTCGATGTTTATCATTTAATCACCGGTATGTACGAAAAATGATATATATTTCTAGATTAACACCTGCTATAGATTCATAGATTTTTTCACAGTAGTTAAAACTTCATTCAAGGGGAAATGTGTAGTTCATTTATTTCTCTTTTTCAGATAATAATCTTCCGACAAGATTTGAAGGAACTCATTTTTGCGTGAAAAATAAAATCGGTATCGTTTGATCTCTGGCAAAACATTCTGGCCATGTATGCGATACCGGACAGGGGAGAGTTTTATACGAATGTGAAACTCGTCCGTCCGGTTTGTCGGAGTCTTTAGAAAAGAAAAAGAAAAAAGAAAAAGGGCGTACGCGACTTTCGATTGCCTGCATATAAACGCTTTGTTTTCATATCCTGTTCCAGCCTCTGGAAATTTGTGTCGACAAGAATGTATTTATTATAGAATTTCTATTTCAATTGGCCAGAAAATCCGGTAAAATTACACTAGCGGATCAACGCCTGTATATTGAAATTCTCCTGGTGAAAGCAGAACGCTTCTGTGCACGTGGCGAGTCGTTATTTGCACATGTAGGCGCTGCAAACATTACATCATACTGGATGGTGCAAAAGGGGATCGTAATCACATTGTGAACGAGGGAAAGTATTGCTATCCATACAGGTACATATTATCGGAGGAGTCGTAGCATAGCCGCAGGAATGAATGAATTGCTTGCTATTTGTGCAACAGCTACCTCTACGAACAGTAACACTTTAAGGAACAATTGATACATGTCTACAGAAACATATTTAAATTGAGCAGCTGAAGACAGCGTGAGTGAGGTAAATCGATTGCGCAAAAAGACGGTTCGTACGGTCATTTGCCATAACAGCGAATAGGAAGAAACGATAAGTACCTATTGCTGAAGACGTGAGAGAGAAGAGATAAGGAAGCACGAAGAAACGAGAGAAAAAGAAGAAGAAGAGAGAGAAAAGTTAGTCCGCGTCCTCGGCAGACGCGAAGAAGACCCGACGAAAGTTGAATCAAAAATGAAACTGATGTTGGTAAAACATTGGATCCTTCTGATGATCCTAAACCTTTGGGTCGTTGAAGCTAAACGTACCAGTAAGTAAGTTTCCACAAAAATGAAAAAAAATTTCTCATCTTCACGTGCTTCTTTTCCTCTTTCCTTTCAGTGAAACTTCTTCCTGGACGGAGTAGAGTGACGTTAAGTCGGATAAAAGCGAACCGTCAGACTCTCAAACCTACAATCTGCTTTGGTACGAATTATAGAAAAAGTATTTCTTATCCCACAGTATGTACCGGATAAAACATAATATAAATATAAATTTCAGATTTAGTTGGATGTTTTGCGGATCCGATGGGTAAATTGGCGTTTCAAAAGCCACCAGAGCATCCCAGCGTGATTCAGACGAGATTTTTACTGTACACTCGTTCGAATCGAGATGCTCCCGAGAGCCTGCTGTACGGTGATGATTTTAAATCTATTCTCAAATCGCGATTCAATTCGACGAGACATATGAAAGTTGTGATACACGGCTACAAAGGAAGCGGGAGCGATGTTGGCGCGGTGCGCTTGGTACAGGGTTTACTAGATTTGGTAATTCGTATGAAACAAAATTTCTATTCTACTATCAACCAAACAGAGGTTTTCGTTTATTCAGGGAGGACCTATTTTCGTTGATTTTACGTTGTGAAATATCTTTCAGGAGGACCTGAACGTTTTGGTAATCGACTGGACAAGAGGAGCGGCAACGACCTATTCGGCAGCAGTGGCAAATACCGAACTTGTAGGTCGACAATTAGGCTTGGTTCTTTTAGACACTATCAATTTGGGCACGCTTCCTGAAAACATTCACGTGATTGGCTTCAGTCTTGGAGCTCACGTTGCCGGTTGTGCCTCTGAAATCCTCAAGAGGAGGAAAATTCTCGTGGGTCGTATAAGTGGCCTAGATCCTGCGTCACCATTTTTCAGGAATCATCTGTTTAGGGAAAAGTCTAGAAAGCTAGATGCCACAGATGCTCAATTGGTTGATGTGATTCACACGGCTTTGCAGACGGGTTTGGACTTTTGAAGCCACTTGGTCACATTGATTTCTTCCCGAACGGTGGTAGAGAACAGCCTGGCTGTAACGATGTGAAAAATTCTGTCGTTTTTAGCCATTTGAATGGTACGATGCGTTTTACGGATACGCAGATTAACAGTGGAATTCTTGTTGATGATTGTAAAGGTAATTGTAACGTTTCAGAGGATATGTTGACTAAAGAAATTGCTTGCAGTCATTTGCGAGCTTGGTCGTATTTTTTGGAAAGTGTACGCATGACAAATCCCACCTGTAATTTCACTGCCTGGCCTTGTCCCAAAGGAAGAAGATCGTACGCGAATGGAATGTGTTTCCCCATGGAATCTACAATGTGGTCTCAAGAGATGGGCTACAGAGCTAATCGAGGCCCCTTAGGAATTTATTATTTGCCTACGACAGAGAAAGAACCCTTTTGTGGTAAAGGGTTAACTTCGATGAAATATCAACAGTTAATTTTTTAATTGTCTTTCTTTTCTTATTTTCAGGCCAGCCACTGAGAGCATCGGTGATAACTTCCAAAGATGCGCCAGAAACCTCGGGGATATTATTTATAAAATCTATGCAACGTAATTCAATGATAAATTACAGGCTTCGGTACGCGTAAGATATATTTTGATAATAACTGCATGAATCGTTGTTTTGTAGGCAATTAGGCAAATTTATCATTTTCTTTTGATTTGTTTAAAAGTTTAATTCTGTGTATATATAAACAACTTCGATAAGATATTAATTGTTTAAGAATATCGAGCCGGAAAAACAAATCGATGACGTTTTACAATATCGCTGCAGCGGAGTTCCAACTTTCATCGAGTAATCAGATAACGATAAACACAACCGTTTGGTATGAGAAGAGTAAAGGTGATGATAATGAAGATACAATTAGAAAACCTATCTCCGATGCATTGTTCGTGAACAAAGTTGTTATTGAAGATAGAAAGGGCAATAAGTATGTAAATGTATAATTATCTGCAGCTAAAATACGTTATCGTGACTTTACTTTGCATTTAATTCCATATTCAGGTGGGAATATTGCAGCCCAAATACTCCCGTAAACCTAGAGCAAAAAATGATGATTTTGCGCCGTCAGCAATGTGATTTATCGTAGGATAATCTTTATTTATAACATTTTTATTCGTGTTATTAGTAACATGTAAAAACAAAAATGGAATCAAATAAAACACTTTACACTAGTTAAGCGATTGTACATTAAGTAATTTTTCATGAAACACTGTAATTATATCTTTTGATAAAAAGAAAGATGTATTTGAAATAGTGCGCGTAAAAATGAAACGGCAAATGGCAGCGAAACCATAACCTACTCGTAACTTCAAATTGTTTGAAATACATGATGAGAACAATGTCGGGGATAATTAATGTTTTTCTGTTGAACAGGGGTCCAAATCAGATCTTTAAAAAAGTAAGTGTCATTTTGAATAATCGAAAATGATTAAATTGACTTTTCATCAAACTTTGAATTGGAAAACAATTCTCAAACGTAATCAATAATTTTTTTTTAAATTGTTCACAGGGCACATTTCATTTACAACATTTTAGACAATATTGTCCACAAGTTAGACGTGTAAATACTTCTATGAATTTATTTCAATGTACTGAAGTAAACCGTAAGAAAGCATCTATCCTTAAAAGAAATCCTATCACATGGAAAAGTGTAATAGGTACTAGCACAATAGGTGCAATTCTTTTATTGTATATGTATTACTTACAAGATACAAAAGATAAACAATTAGAACGTGAAAGGAGACGTGAATTAGGAAAGGCAGCAATTGGTGGAAGGTTTGAATTAGTTGATCCTGAAGGAAAAACAGTAAAGTCAGAGGACTTTTTAGGACAATGGGTTTTGATATATTTTGGTTTCACACATTGTCCTGACATATGTCCAGATGAGCTTGAAAAAATGACAGACATTGTTAATACATTAGGTAAGACAAATAATAATGTCTTAAAAACAAGTATATTATCTTATGTTATGTTATTATTTTAGAAACAAAACATAATCTAAAGGTTCAGCCTATATTTATCTCTGTGGATCCTGATAGAGATACACCAGAAGTTGTGGGAAAGTATATTAAAGAATTTTCTGACAAAATTCTTGGTCTTACTGGAAATAAAGAACAAGTTGCTAAAGTATGCAAAGCTTACAGAGTATACTATAGCAATGGACCCAAGGATTCAGATTCAGATTATATTGTCAGTAATTAATTTTTTTTATATGTAATTTAAATTTTATCATTCAAAAGTAACATTAGTTTTATTCTGATTGTATTCTAGGTTGACCACACGATAATCATATATTTGGTAGATCCAGATGGTCTATTCGTAGATTATTATGGCCTGACTCATACTGCTGAGCAGGTTGTACATAGTGTTTGCATAAATAAGATAAAATATGATAACTTAAAAAGTGATTCTTGGATTCCTTCTATATCACTAAAAAGTCCATTACCTGCATAATTTATTTCTATTATATGTATTTATATGCAAAAATATCAATTAATAATTAAATATTTTCTAACTGAGTATTAAATTTTTCTAATCTTTAAGCTAATACATTTTCATTAAGTAGTTATATGCCAATATATCAATTAATAATTAAATATTTTCTAACTGAGTATTAAATTTTTCTAATCTTTAAGCTAATACATTTTCATTAAGTAGCATATCAGTATTGTTAAATACAAAGGAATAACTAAAATATTATGCTAGAGAAAAATAAATACTTCTATTACTTATTTAACTCAACCGCGTACAATCGATCGATATGTTCCCTAGATGTTTATTCCCTAAATCTACTTCCGATTGATAGAACTATTCAGCAACATTTTAGTTTCCTTCATGCGTGTTTACGAATAATATGTTGAAGTTTGATATTTTTTATAATTGACAGTGGAGTATTACCTAGAAAAGTTGAATGCAAAATAAAATTTTAAATATTAAAAGAAACTGTGAGGATCCGTTAAAAGTGATTTAATACTTTTATTGCTTCAAGGTTAGGATTTATATACTCTAAATCATTCAAATTTCATAGTCTCAAGAGTCATTTTTTAGTGCATTCTATTTTAAGTTAAATTCTTTCTCTGTAATGTTTTAATATCGCGTGGAAGAGACTAAATCAAAATGGCAGAAGATTTTGGAAGAGAAACACCACCGATGTACGCAGCAAATGAAGAATCAAAAACTGCCGGACAGCCCCTTTCGGATTTTTTGCTACAACTCGAAGATTATACACCCACGGTAACAGCATAAGTTATAATTATTGTAATTTGTTCATCCAGAATACTTAAGTGTATATTAAATGTTCTTTGTCATAGGTACCAGATGCTATTAGTGAACATTATTTACATACAGCTGGTTTTAATGCAACTGATCCTAGAATGTAAGTAATCTACAATAAACTGGGTTTGCTAAAATAAATCTTTGATGGTTTTATCTGTTTTACAATTATGCGTTTGTTCATTTTAGAGTACGATTGGTGTCATTAGCTGCACAGAAATTTATATCCGAAATTGCAAATGATGCTTTGCAACATTGCAAGACACGTGGAGCCAATCAGAATACAAAAACAAAAGGAAAAGATCGGCGTTACACTCTTACTATGGAGGATCTAACACCAGCAGTTGCAGAATATGGCATTATAGTTAAAAAGCCACATTATTTTGTTTGATTTACTTTTATCTTGTCTTTTTTCTATTTATGAATACTCATTTATTTAATATTCTTTACACATATATAAAAATACTATTGTACAGCTTTTATAAGAATTAAGCAATAGTGTGCAACAAGAAACATGAAACTGTAAAATTAATGTAGTTCAAAGTTCAGTTTTAACACAACCAGAAAATTGAATCTTAAATATAATATGTTCCATTAAAAAAAACTCTATTTAAAAATTTTTTATAGACATTAAATCACGCATGTTAATTTCAATATTGTATTAACATTATACAACATTGAATTCTTAAAATTTATGTTTCAAACATTCAGATAGAATTTTATTTATCCTAAATAAAAAGCAATAATTTCATAGAGATCACAAACGAAAAGTTCCTTTGCTCCTAATGTAGCGATCCAGTTATAAAGTTAGTTCTAGGATTGTGAAAAAATCAAAAAAAATTTCTTCAGATGATAGTGACTAGAAAAACAGCATATTTTCCTAGTAACTTTTTAATGCTTCAAATGTACCAGCAACTCCGCATGCGCTTTATTCCCAAAAAAACCATCAGCCATATTGGTGTGTTGTATCGCTGTCCCTCAGTAATTTCGAAGATCAGTGAGGTATTTCTCTCGTTCATCACCCGAATTCTTTTTTACCCGTTGCTCTATGAATAATAGGGAATGCAAATGTGATATTTATTCGAAATAGATTGTCATTGGTGGACTTTTATGACATTCGCGAACGGAAAAAGTTTGGTTAATGTTGCCACCTGGGCTCACGGAAATCGGTCTGTTTAAGAACATATCGTAAATAAATGCGTGCTATTTTCATTGGACTGGAATGTTCATAGAATATTAATACCTTCTTCTGCATCGTTCTTTCTCCGCGTAAGATTATTATTGGTGTTAATCAGTTTTTAAAAGAATTACAACCTTTTACGAGTACTTTGCTACCGTTTGTCGTGCTCTCTTACTTTCGATCACTTTTACTTTATTCTTTTTATATATCTCAATTGTCTTTCAATGATAACGTTTCATTTGTTACGCTTAAGATTATGGATGATTAATGCACATGGGTTGCTCGATTTTCGTCGAGCAACAGGTAAAAATCATTGATGCGATTTTCTACGGATGCTCGGATCAGGTGTACCCCGAACATCTGTGATTATTGTCATCCAACCTTGTTTCCTACGGATATTCCCGTCACTGGATATCACGCAGATTTGCTTTCAATAGTATGGTTTCTTAAAAAGAAACTAAGTATTAATTGATTCTTTGTTCTACGTCTTATTTTTCTTAATTATATTTTTAATGATTTACATTCAAAACATGTATAGGATTTCTCTTGCATTTTAAGTTTAAGGCAATAATTTTGATTACTTGCATGATTTTTCATAAATACGTTTATATGGTGAAATTTTATATTTTCAGCAAATAGATTATCATGACGGATTCCATGAAATTTGGTCCAGAATGGTTTGTAATATTTCAACAATATAACTATCATAACATATTGCATATTGTTTTAACATGTTATAATAAATGCATAGGTTGCGTAATCTGTCTGGAGACAGTTGCAATAATAGTGGTGGTGGTGGAGGCACTACAAGTTTAACCACTCCACGTTATCAATTAGCTGAACATAGATACGGGCGAGAAGAAATGTTGATTTTGTTTGACCGCAATTGCAAACCTCCTGAACCATTGTCAAATTTCTCATCATTATATGTTGAGAAAACTCAGCTTCCTTTGGCTCTTATACAAATGACAGAAGATGAAACGGTATTTACCTAAGTGTATTCTCATACTGAAATTTAGTATTTATACTAAATAACTTTAAGGTATATTTTTATTTAGATGCAATTTATAATTGTATAAAAAAAATTACCAGCATTTTGTAGTTTTATATAGATTAATTCATATCTAGAATGATAATTAATATTATTTAGTGATTATATATTCTTATTGCATCCTATATTGGGAACTGCCTCATGAAGTCAGTTTGAAGCTAAAAATATAACACACTGGAGCCCTTGTGCCAGTTCTTCATAGCACTGTCCTATCCACTGTTGTATACTTTACATAATCATTATTATTTTGTTATCATTCTACATTTTGCCACACCTCTTTATGGTGTGAATTTTCACGTTGATATAAATTAATTATTTGATAAATTCGAATATTATTAATTTAATTGTTCTCACGAAATTTTAGCGAATGTGGAATGGAGGAATAACTAATGTTGGTGGTCGAGGAAGAGGTGGAAGCGTCGATCGTGGGGGGCGCGGAAGAAACGGAAGAGGTAGCTTGTATTCCTCTCATTATTCCCGTGGCGTTGGTTTCGATGATTCAGGAGATGGATCACGAATCGACAGTCAATCATTTCAAGTATGTAATTTGTTTCATTCCATGGGAATGGAATATGTTGATACAAACATTAAGTAACATTTAAAAAAAAGGTGAATTATTTTTTAGCTACCGTATAGGTAAAATGCGCGTATGTCGTTAAATAAGATGATACCCAAAAAGTTGAAAATTTCTTGTATTAAATAAAAGAGAGATTATTTTTTCAATTCATTAGTGAATATATTTCATATCCAGGGGAGAAATCGCCCATTTGATAGATCTCAAAGTGAACGTGGTTGGTCAGAAAGAAATGGAGCCTCAGATCCAGGTGAATGGAACGGTTCTACTAGTCCTAGAAAGGAATTAAGTCGTGGAGCTAGTGGTAGTTCTCTTATGGAAAGTAATTGGCGACGTCATCGTGGTGGTACAGAAGACGATGATAGTTGGCGAAAATGGAGTAAATACGCGTGTACTTGGAACTACTGTGTGTTCAATTAAGTAAAGAGTATCATGTATACAGTCAATTTCTATCTCAGGTAGGAGTAGTTGGCGCGAAGGTGGGAGTATGGATAGAGATAGATTAGAGAGAAATGAAGGAGATGGAGAAGAAGGACGAACTAGTGGTGGTAGATGGGAACATCGTGGAAGTCACAGAACTACACATGATTCAAGTCACCATCCCCCTCCTCGTACAGCACGTACTTGGGAATCGAACCATCATGATAATAATCATGATAATCTTCCTGAATGGTAACTTTTTCAGTATTTTGATCTGTAAATTTATTTACATTCGATGATCACTTTTTTCCTAGGGCTACTGAGAATCCTAGCGAAAGTGGAGGAAGCTTTGATGCTTCCGGCGCATTCCATGGTGGAATATATTCAGATGACGATGAAGATGGTGTGATTAGTGCAAGTGGTACTCAAGAATCATCAAGGACTCGACGTGTTTCTGAAGGAAGTACAGCTATTACAACAAAACCTGGTAGCAAACCTTTATCTTATAGCTCGACTCAGGGACAAATAGCAAGTCGCAATGGCAATAATGGAGCAGGTATAATTAATAAAGAACGACCGAAGTCCTTACATCCGCTCGATGATAAAGATGAATCTATCGAGAAGAAAAGGAGAAGCAGTTCTCCGATAAAGCCACCACCTGTTACAGTAACGGATAATACCACTACTAAAATTTCGACGTCAGTATCATCTGAAACTTCGCAAAAGAGAAACACAGTAGCAACAAGTACAGAGCAAACTGAGACTGAAAAAATACCACCGACCGATTCTGATACTAGTAAATCTCCTAATAAAGAGAAGAAGAAGGGAGAAGATGTTGAAACAGAAGCAAAAGTGGATGCGATTCCTGCTACTGTGACAAGACAGGTCCCGTTACAAGTAGAATCTCAAAAGGCCATGCAGAGTTTAGAAACGGATAATGTGAGACACAAGTCGGAAGATGATTTGGATAGAATGAAGGAAGAAGCGGATGCATTAGTGGCTAAATTGATGGCAGACGAAGAGAACCACAGGGAGAGAACTGCTGGTGTACCGCCTGCTATTGGTAACCAATCTTCCACAGTTCCATCTACGAATGGACAGGAGAAATGGTTTTACCGTGATCCACAGGGTGAAGTTCAGGGTCCGTTCTTAGCAAGTGAAATGGCAGAATGGTGTAAAGCTGGTTATTTCACTGCAGGATTAATGGTAAGAAGAACCTGTGACGAGCGGTATAGCACCTTAGGAGATTTAATGAAGATGTGTGGTAGAATACCATTTACACCTGGTCCTCCGATTCCTCCTTTAAAGGTACGTGTATTTCTTTTTCCTAATATTTTAGCAAAGATGAGGCCTTGCGAAATAGCGTATATTTAAATATTTTAGTTATTCAAATACAGTGAAAAGGTTTATTCGCTTTTTTCAGTTAGCAGATCAGGTTATACCGCCTGTTCCCAACACTGTACCAGCTGGTATGTCTGCATTACCAAAAACTGGTATAGATGATCCATTACTTCTACTTCAGTATCAACAAATGCGGTTAATACAAAATCATCAGTTACTTTTGAGACAAATACGAACATCAGCTATAGCGAAACTTTCTCAATCGGAGCATTGGGCAACGTTAAGTCCCATAGAACAAAATCAGTTGATTTTCCAATATGTTTTTCAAGATTCGGAAATTCCAGAAATGCTAATCTCTGCGAATCCGTTTGTACCACATCTTCCGTCTCAAGCTTCTAACCCTATCATGCAACTTTTCACTCAATTGCAACAGGTAACGATTTATTTTATCGAACATGAGCTCGTAACATATTGATATTACATGCCCATATTCCAAATGTTTTTAAGGCTAAAACGCAGCCGGAGACTCATTTAACGTCGAATCCACATTCAACTACGGCAACGCATCCACCTAATGTTGATCCTATACAGCAACTTATACAACAAATGAGTGGTATGCAAAATATACAAGGAATTCAACAGCCGAGTATAAATTCTACGCCAGCTGCAACGCAAGAAGATAATCCCATAAAATCTTTATTACGCCAACTCAATGTGAATGCAAATGGTCATCCACAAACATCACATATTGATACTGTTTGGCCACAACCTCCACCACAAATAAATCCACAATTTAATGCGCAAAATTGGTTGGCGCAGGTTTGTGCAAATTAATCAATTCAATTTTCTAATTCGTTTCTTTTCAGAAAAATGTAGCTTTGTTGTAAACATAGCTACTATTGAGATTATACTTTTTAGGTTGGGCCGATACCAGCAGTACCTCCTGGCCAATTACCTACATCATTATGGGATCTACATACTAAAGAAATAAAGACTGAACAGCAAATATTGGTAATTACGTTTTTAATAATCAAATCACTGTATCCTCCAAAGTGGAACCAAAGATTAGTAGAACGTTTTTATGGTATTACAGGAAGAACAAAATCTTAGATTAGAGGAAGATAGAAAGAAGGAAGAACTTCGAAAGCAAGAAGAATTACAACGGCAAGCTGAAGAAGAAAATGCGAAAAGAAAAAAGGAAGAGCAGGCTAAGCAAGCAGAGGAAGCGAAACGGAAATATGAAGAGAGAAAGAAGCGGAAAGAAGAAGAGAAGCGTAAACAAGAAGAGGAACGAAAGAAAAAGGAAGAGAAAAAGCGTAGAAACGAGGAGAAAGAAGCGAAGAAACGAGAAGAATTGGGAAGACAGGCGGAGGAAAATCTTAAAAGAAAGTTACAGGAAGAGGAAAAAAGGAAGAAAGAGGAACTTAGAAAGCAAGAGGAAAAGCAGAAAAAGGAAGAAGAGAAAAGAAAAAAATTTGAAGAAGAGCAAAGAAAGCAGGAAGAAGAGAGAATGCGGTATTAGTTATTTCTTGAATAATCATATGTGTTTATTGAATGTACATTATTCTTAAAAAAATGAATAAGAAAATGTTTTTGGTTGTAATTATAGGAAGGAAGCAGAGGCGCGCAAGCAAGCTGAAGCTGAAGAGCAGGCTCGGCGAGCGGAACGAAGGCGGCGAGAAGCAGAAGCTCTTCGTAAGTTACAAGAAAGAAGTAAAGCACCATGGGCCCCAGCACCTTGTGCACCAACTCCAGCCACTCCTGCTGCTTCACTTGCGGAAATTCAAAGACTTGAACGAGAGAAGAAAGCAGTACGTTCTCGAATTATTGACAGAATATTGGTATTTCTATACATACTATATATATAAAATGATAATTTGTTCAGGAGGAGCACCGGTATGCAAAAGGCCAGCAAATGATGCAGCAACAATTGAAAGCTGTGGAAGCAACTCAAGAAGCGTCAGCAGCTGACTCGTACAAACGATTACAATTTAAGTGGGCAGAAAATGCTACAGCTTCCACCAAACCTGTACCCGTAAAGAGTCTCGCACAGATTCAACAGGAAGAGCAAGAGCGGATCGCCAAGGTAAAGGTACTTATTACTTTTTCACTATTTTACTATTGTAAGATAATATTAATGCATATTTTTTCATTTGTTTCGAAAATACATTATAACGTTGCGTTTTTTAAGTTTTATATATTCATATAATAGCAGTACAAAAAAATGTCTTTAGCTATTAAAAGAATGTGGTAATCAGTCGATGAAATTGTTAAACGATAATTACATGTCGTTGATTGTTATTCCCGGCTGTTCAGCAGCAAGAAAGGGAACGCCAAGAAAAAACAGGGCAGAAAGAATCAGCGAATGTACTACAGAACGCTGGAATATGGGGTACTGCTTCTCAGTGTTTGAATTGGGCCAATTCGAGTACCTGTAGCAATAGTCAAGCTTGGTCCAACAATAGTGGTACGAGTGGTTTTTGGGACGACCCTACGCCAATCAAATCCTCTACAACTGCGAAACAGCCTGCTAAACAGATCCCCGCAACAAAAGCTCCTACTGCCAACCAGCAGCAGCAGCAACAGCAGCAAAGTAATAAGGCAAATAAAAGTAAAAATAAACGGGAAGAGGAACTCGTAAAGAAATTATTTGAGCAACCCACTGCCAAGACAGATGATTTCACGCAATGGTGCAACAAAGCCTTGAGTGGATTACAGGTGTCTGTGGACAGTAAGTTAGAGACTCTTTCACACGCCTGTATTTCTGTGTTTCTTTTATAAATCATTTGATGAACAAATTTTACGTGTACACAGTCCCCACGTTTGTTGGATTCTTGCGAGATATTGAGTCTGCGTACGAGGTGAAAGAATACGTCCGAGATTATCTTGGCGATAACAAACAGAGCTCAGAATTTGCAAAACAATTTTTAGAAAAACGTAGTAAGTGGCGATCCGCCCAACGACCTCAGGCAGAAGCGGATGACTTATGCAAGCCAGCGCCTGCTGTTAATCCAAATGCACCCATGGAATTTCAGGAAGTGAAGGTATCTTGAATGGACGATGAATGCTTGGTAATGATGAATCATGTTTTTATACCAACACCTAAGTGAAATGATCTTTCAGGGAAAGTCAAAGAAGCCAAAGAAGGGAAAAATGTGCAAAGTTGATAATAGAATTCTTGGCTTTAGTGTAACCGCAGCCCCCGATCGTATCAATGTAGGTGATCGCGATTATGGGGAAGATATTTGAATGCATTCTGATGACTCTAACTGTATTGTGGAAATTGTGCAACGCTTGGCCCAACAAATGGTTCGTTATTTATTTATTGTAGATGCCAAATAAGTTCTAAGGAACCCGTTGCGAGTACTTCGTTAAAAGTATATCAGATTTTTCTATGATTATGCGTGTAAGAATTTTATTCCTCGTATTCTTTACTCGAATGTTAATGGGAGCCTTAGATACCGACAGAGCGTGGCATTATTTCCTTTTCAAACGGAACTGAAAGACACTCCGAGGAATAAACCCTATTGTACATACTACTCAAAGAAAGATACTTCATAAAACAAGACGAACTCATCTCCTATTTACGCGATATACA